GGTTTTCAGTCCATGAATGCTTCATACATTTCTTTAGCCTTTCGGGTCCAACAAGCCTTTTTTATTGTTTATGCATCAAGAAACAGATTAACACAGCTACTCTTCTAAAGATGTTTTGCTGTTGTGATCTACCTTTGAGAGATCAGTGGTCTATAAATGTGCATGAAGTGCCAGAGATGAAAGAGGGATGTGGAGGAAGTAGCAGGCAATATTGAGGAATCGGCCTGTTGGCTTACCCACTCCTAGAAAGCTAGTTACTCTCCAGCATTCTAAGGGCAGCAGTCACCAACCTTTTCTGGCCCAGTTTCAGTCCAAATATGCATTTGAGGAGCCACTTCTTAAATTTTTACCATATGTTTGTGTGTTGGTAGTGCAGGTGGGGTGATCCAGTTAGGAATCGCAACCTACTAAGTGAAGACCAGAGTGCTAAAGCATCCAAATTCTTAACTCCTTTTAGAGACCCTCGTATACGCAGTGCGACCATTCACACATAAAAGTGGGATTAGGTGGTAAATCATTGGCTAATTAATCCATGTTTTATAAGGACATATGTCAAGTGTCGGCTGCAAAAAGCAAACCATGGCTTAAATAACTCAAACTTGTCAGAATCCCGGAATCTCAATTTGAGAAGAGGGAATAAAAACTCGTGGGAAAGACCAAGCGTCCAGACCATCTGAGACTTTATTGTTTTACCCCCAAGGTTCCCGCGGTACACTCAAGATAATGCATGCTGCATTACTGGGCAGGAAGAGATGAACTCTGCTGCAAAGCTTCAGTACCATTGCAGGGCATTTATAGAGACACAGGTACAGGGCAATTGATGACAGAATGCAGAGATTACAATAAGATTCTGAGGTCATCACATATAGATCAGATAAAGAAATGTCAGTCAATCACACTGTAACAAGGAGATTAAAATATTTCTAATTACTTGAACCCATCTCCAGGTCTGCTCAGACATGCAAATTCAAGCTACTAGAAACTATTCATGATAAGCTCAGACCCTTATCTCGACTCTAAACATTCTGCATGATCAGGGCACATGAAGCCCTCTGGGCTATCAAAAGATTATTGTAAACTGAATTCCAACAATGACTATTTACAATGTATATTTGTCTACTGTAGCCTACAGCTAAAGGTGAGAGAAAGTGGGGGGGGGGAAATGCCATTTTAAACAGTGACAGCTTGGTTTTGAGAAGGAAGACAGGATTTGATCCCACAATGCAAAGGCACACAGGAGTAATGCTTTTCAGATAGGATTCATCCAAATT